TAAAGCAACCCTTAATAATGTTCGCCATCTTTCATAACTATCAAGTAATGTTTTTTCCATCAATTTTCATAACTCCTATGCAATCATGGAGACGTTTCATAACCATACTCTGTGATCATTCATGTTGTTTACTAGCACCTTTCAAGAGATTGGACCGACTTACTCTTCTGTTACACAGTTATCATGAGACCGGATGTGACCTGCTCTGATTTTGTAATAAAATTTTATTCTGATCAGATTCCGACTTGTCTAGGATCATGTCATCCGACTCATTTTTTCTTTGTACTCGGTTTGCAAAAGACCGACCTTTGAGAATTTCAAGATATACAACTACAAATTCCGTTTAAAAATGACGTAAAATCTGTTAAATATAATTCATTGTGTAAACAGATTTGATTTGATATGATTAGATATCATATGATTAGATTAGATTTGATATCATATGATTAGATTTGATATCATATGATTAATTTAATATGATATGATTAGATATCATATGATTAGATTTGATTTCATATGATTAGATTTGATATCATATGATTAGATTTGATTTAGAATATTTTGGGCCTTTTATGTTTTGGGTTAGTGTAAACCTAAAACTATAAATAAGGTGCCTTGCTTTGTATTCTACATCACAACAGAACAGATTTCACAGTTGCAGTTAGCAAGTGAAAGTTCAATAAAAAATCCCATAGCTGTGGGTAACACATTCTCTCCAAATACTTCTTCTCTCATTCTTCTCTTTCTTGTTTGTTATTCTTCTTCTCTTTTGTTGTTCTTGATAATTACTTGTTATTACCATTACTATCATATTGTGGGTTTGTTCATCAATCTTGAGATCAAGATTGAAGGGAATTCTTCATAGGGTGTGAGGTGAATTTCCAACACCTGGTATCTAGAGCTCCGGTTGAGAGATTCAAGGAAGGAAGATAGTGATGGTGATGAACTATCCGAACGACAATTTTCCGGCGACCCTGCCAATTCTCAAGAAAGACAATTATGATAATTGGTGCAAGCAGGTTAAAGTGATTTTCTGTTATCAAGATCTTTGGGATCTTGTGAAGGACGGAGTGACACTGCTTGTGGAGAATGCAACGGAGGCGGAAAAGGCTGCGCACAAAGAATTGAAGAAGAAGGATTATAAAGCACTCTTTATAATTCATCAGTGTGTTGATCCTGATAACTTTGAAAAGGTTAGTGATGTTGATTCAGTAAAAGAAGCATGGGAGATTCTTGAAAATTCGTTTGGAGGTGCAGAGAAGGTGAAAGAGGTGAGGTTACAAACTCACAAGAGAACCTATGAGTTGCTTCAGATGGAAGACAATGAAAGCATTACAGATTTCTTCACCAGAGTTACAAAGTTGGTGAGTCAAATCAAAGTATGTGGAGAAGCGCTGACGACGAAAGCAGTTGTCTCAAAGATTTTGAGATCGTTGGCTCCAAAGTTCGACCACGTGGTAGTTGCCATAGAAGAGTCGAAAGATCTGTCAGTGTTGACGAAGGAAGAGCTTCAAGGGACTCTTGAGTCTCATGAACAGAGGATGGCTGAGAGAGCTGCAGGAAAGTCGAAAGATATGGCTTTGCAGGCACAGACGAAAAAGGAGAGAAAAGGCAAAGGTAGCTGGAATGGCAACAAAGGAGGAAACCAGTCGAATCAAAAGAAACCTTGGAACCAAGGCAACCAAAGAGGTGGTGCTGCAGGAAGAGGCGGTGGTCGAAAGACAGACAAAAGCCACATTCAATGTCCAGAAAGGAAGAGAAATCAAGAAACTGATGCAAAGCTGGCGAAACATGAAGAAGAAGAAACGTTGCTAATGGTTACAACAAAAGATGAAGAAAGTTTCCAAGATCAGTGGTACTTGGACTAAGGATGCTCATCACACATGACTGGAAGGAAAGATTGGTTTGTCAACATGAAACCCTCGTTGAAGAACACAGTGAAGTTTGCAAATGACAACACTCTAGCAGCTGAAGGTGTTGGTGATGTTCTGATTATGAGGAAAGATGGCAAAAGGTTAACAATTTCCAATGTGTTGTACATACCAGGCATGAAAAGTAACTTGCTCAGTATAGGGCAGCTTGCCGAAAAGAACTACAAGGTAGTTGTCGAAGACAAGATGATGAGAGTTCTCGACGCAGGTGGTAGATTAATCTTGAAGGCTCCAATGTCTCAGAATAGGACCTTCAATATTGGACTCAATGTGATGGAGCATAAGTGTCTAGCAACTGCAGCCAGCAGAGATGAGTGGTTATGACATTTTCGACTAGGTCATCTCAAGTTTAATGACATCAGAGAACTGAAGAAAAGAAATATGGTTTCAGGATTACCAGAAATCGACATTCCAAGTGAAGTCTGTGAGGAGTGTGTTCAGTCGAAACAACACAAGAATAGCTTCAGCAAGGATGCAGGAAGGAAGTCGAAGGCAATACTTAAAGTCATATACTCTGATGTATGTGGTCCAATCCAGGTGGATTCGATTGGTGGCAATAGATACTTTGTCACGTTTATAGATAATTACAGTCGAAAGCTGTAGACTTACCTCATCAAGAAGAAAAGTGATGTGATTGAGGTATTTTCCAGATTCAAGTCCATGGTCGAAAGACAGAGTGGTCGAAAGCTGAAAATTCTGAGGACTGATGGTGGTGGAGAGTATGTGTCGAAAGAGTTCGATACACTATGTGTAAAAGAAGGGATTGTGCATGAGGTGGTTCCACCTTACACTCCACAACAAAATGGGATTGCAAAATGCAAGAACAGAACCATCATGAATATGGTGAGAAGTATGTTGAATGGAAAGCATCTACCTAAAGAATTATGGGGAGAAGCAGTTTCGACAACAACATATATATTGAACAGATGTCCGACGAAGAAGCTTGAAGGAATCACACCAGAAGAATGTTGTTCTGGTGTCAAGCCTAGTCTCAGTCACTTGAAGGTATTTGGATCTATAGCACATAGACATGTGCCAGATCAGTTGAGAAGGAAGCTTGATGATAAGTCGAATCAAATGATCTTGATAGGATATCATTCGACAGGAGGTTACAAGTTGTTCGACCCAGTGAATAAGCAGGTGGTGATCAGCAGGGACGTGATCATAGATGAGCTTAAAGAATGGGATTGGACTGAGAATGCCAAGAAGGATTCAGTGAGAATCTCTTGTGAAGAACCAGCCACTGAAGTCGAAATAGAAGCTCGACAGGAACCAGTTGCAGATGAAGCAGGTTCAAGCAGACCTCGACGAACAAGACACATGCCTGCAAGGTTGCAAGAATGTGTAATTACATCAGATGATGTAGTCGATGAAGAGGGTGAGCTGGTACATTATGCTTTCTACGCAGATGTCGAACTAGTCAATGCAGCTGAGGCATTGAAAGGTTTGAAGTGGATGAAAGCAATGATTGAAGAGTTGGAGTCCATCGAAGTCAATGATACCTGGTCACTTGTCGAATTACCGCAAGGCAAGAAGGCAATTGATGTGAAGTGGGTTTACAAGGTGAAGGTAAATCCTAAAGGAGAAGTAACTCGACACAAGGCGAGACTTGTGGCGAAAGGATTTCTTCAGAAGGAAGGAATCGACTTCGATGAAGTATTCGCACCTGTTGCTAGAATCGAAACAATCAGGTTGGTTGTTGGTATAACAAATATGAACAACTGGCACACATGTCAGATGGACGTGAAGTGGACCATGATGAATGTAGACAGTTTAGACACAATGAATTAGGTGGTGTGTTAAATATAATTCATTGTGTAAACAGATTTGATATCATATGATTATATATCATATGATTAGATTAGATTTGATATCATATGATTAGATTAGATTTGAATAAATAGGGTGCCTTGCTTTGTATTCTACATCACAACAGAACAGATTTCACAGTTGCAGTTAGCAAGTGAAAGTTCAATAAGAAATCCCACAGTTGTGGGTAACACATTCTCTCCAAATACTTCTTCTCTCATTCTTCTCTTTCTTGTTTGTTATTCTTCTTCTCTTTTGTTGTTCTTGATAATTACTTGTTATTACCATTACTATCATATTGTGGGTTTGTTTATCAATCTTGAGATCAAGATTGAAGGGAATTCTTCATAGGGTGTGAGGTGAATTTCCAACAAAATCAACTCTATAACTGATCATATCAAAATTAATTTTACATTTTCAAAATTAGTTTTGACTCATCTAAGAACAAAACTATACATACACTAAAAATTGTTAAATTGGCGGTGGATGCATGGTAGTAAGCTTATTATAAACTTATGTCTTAGGAGATTATTTATACATATAAGTGAAAGAAATTAAGCTCCTAGTTTTGAACAAGAATGGGCTAGCATTTTGTTAATGTCATATAGAAAGAAACCCTTTTCATGAGATCGAAAATTCCCCAAGAGCATGCTAGTTCAATGACCTCTGACACAAACCAACAAATTTTTCTGACTTTGATATCACATTGTTTGAATTTGTGGACCACACTCAAAAGTATAGTACAAAACAAACTATATACTATAAACAACATCTAGAAAGGACACTAAAACTTTTGACCGACATGTATATATAGAGTTCTAAATTTTACAACTATCAATGTCTTTGAAAATTAATTTAGAATCATACATAATTCCACATGCAACCGATTACATAAAACACAAATTTAAACACTAGTTAGAAAATTTTAATTACTAATACTATAAATAGCTTAATCAATATTCCTTAACCATGAACTCTACTATCCCTTTAATTACTTTTTGTTTCTATACTTTTTTTCCTCCCATTGATTTATTTCTTCTTCAAGTTTTTGAGAATCTTGATTAGGGCCTCGGTTCTCCGCATAGTTAAAATATCGATAGTTGTTTGATTAAGATCAAACGATCCAAATAAAAATTAAGTATTTTAACTAAAAATGTTAAAATATGCAGTTTAGTGGATCTCTGATCAATGTTGAACGACTATTGATGTTTCGAATGCGTGAATGTGAAATTCCTGACCACAAAGAATCAAATTCCTTAGTTAGCCAAATGAGGGTCCATGGTTTAAAAAATCATCAAGAACAAACTCAAGGAGAATTGCATCATCATGGTCATTCCCAAACCATTGACTATGATTGTTCTTATCTTCTAAGAAAGGTGCATTTGAAAAACTTGAAATTTCCATGGTGGTTGGTGTAGTACTAGAGCTACTACTCAAGCTACTTCCAGCATACACAGCTTCTGATTTCATTGTCATTGGTAAAGGAATACCAATTGGTGTTTGATCCAAATCCATAACATTGTATGAATCAAAACAAGATGTGTTCATGTTTTGATCAAAGACAAAGGGTTGTTCAACTTGAGGTTGAAAAGTCAAAGTACTTGAGAAGTGGTCAGAACTAGTAGTAGTAGTATTGCTGAAATTGTATATATTATTGTTGCTTGTGGATGAGTTTTGTGCCAAAAACCTTTTCTTGAGTTTAGTGTTCCAATGATTCTTCACATCATTATCTGTTCTTCCTGCTAGTTGAGCTGCTATAAGGGACCACCTAATGACAGAAAAAAGAAACAATTTGAATGCCTGCAAGTCGAACTACCGCGCAGAGACTAAAATTTCAAAACCGTGACAAAATATCTCTATTTTTTGCCACAGTTAAATCGTGACTAACATACACATAATCTCTCTGAAAACAACTTAAGATGGTTCTGGTTAGAACACCAACCATGTTTTAAAACAAAACATATATGAAAAAACGAAATTTGATCACAGAGTTTGACTATGGAGACTATAGAAACTATAGAAAGGATTAATGGAGACTTGCCTGCTTCCTATGGTGCTATAAAGGTTGAAGATGATATTATCTTCCTCCTCAGTGAAACCTCCAAGCTTGATATTAGGCCTCAAATAGTTCAACCATCTTAAACGACAACTTTTCCCACAACGCTTTAGCCCTAAAACGATCAAACCATATATTAAACAAAAATGAAAAATCTTCAACATCAAAACAACAACACCAACAAAAACAATATAACATAAATAAACCGCAAATCATAGCTCAAATGACAGAAGCCGATATTGCTAGGTTTGAAACCCTGGTTCTCAGACAAAATAAATGAATAAATAGAGATGATAAAGAAGAACTATGAATTAAGATATCACCTGCTTTTTGAGGAAGTGCTATCCAATTACCAGCTGTGCCATGTTTGTGAAGGTAGTTTTTGAGAATAGCATCTTCTTCTTGAGACCATGATCCTCTTTTCACTTTTGATTTATCACAGCATGGAGCTCTTCCCATTGCTTCAAAATAATGAATACTACCACAACAAGAAAAAGTAGAAGATTATAAGAAAAAGTGAAAGAGTTGGTGTGTATATATAAACACACTAAGAGAGAATATATGTAATTGTTGTTAAAGACATTGGTATGAAATTGAAACTTTCTAAAGCTTGACTTATTCTGACTGAGTAACTGACTTTGCTTTTATCCATTTTGGTTATTTTTTACCATTTCTGTCTTTTCTTTTAACCAGTCTATGCTTAGTTCTTTTTTTTTCTAACCTAATGAGGTGGTAAAAGATTGAGGATAGAACCAGTCAATAATGAGATCTTATTCAAGGACAGTGAAAAAAAAGTACTTATATTCTTTTGCAAAATTTCAAACCACATGCACATTTATGCACTTAGAAGTCTTGACAGTTCGATTGATAAAGTTAAATAAATATGTAACTTCGACCGTTGGATTTAGGAGATCAAGAGATTATACTCTCAATGATATAGGCCAGGTCAGGATCGCGTAAAAAATTTTACGATTTCAGTCTGCATGAATATTGCAATATTAATTGTGGTTGTCCCACGGAAAATTAACCACAACTTGTTCTTCGTCATAAAAACCATAAATAATGATATTGATTTCGACATTTTTTAATATAGTTTTATTGCGACTTTCTTTATATATATATATATATATATATATATATATATATATATATATATATATATATATATATATATATATATATATATATATATATATATATATATATATATATATATATATATATATATATATATATATATATATATATATATATATATATATATATATATATATATATATATATATATATATATATATATATATATATATATATAATTGCTTTTTGATTTAGGCATATATAAACATAATGGTGTGTTTGTATGTTGCTGGATAGGTGCTAAGTGTTAACTAAAACGTGTTTGTTTAATATTAATTTGTTTGTGCATTTTAAGCTAAAAGGGACGATAGGAGTACGTTTTAACTTGGTATTCATATTTATATGTATACAAGTTTGCAAAGAAATTAAAAAAAAAAAAAGAACAATCTTTGTTCAATTAAAATCATTATAACTAATTTTCTTAGCATCTCAAGCAATTAGAGAGAAAGATTATGCTTGTGCACTTTCTTAAATACAATATATATATATATATATATATATATATATATATATATATATATATATATATATATATATATATATATATATATATATATATATATATATATATATATATATATATATATATTAAAGAGAAAGATTATGCTTGTGCACTTTCTTAAGGACAAATTAATTATATATATATATATATATATATATATATATATATATATATATATATATATATATATATATATATATATATATATATATATATATATTAAAGAGAAAGATTATGCTTGTGCACTTTCTTAAGGACAAATTAATTATATATATATATATATATATATATATATATATATATATATATATATATATATATATATATATATATATATATATATATATATATATATATATATATATATATATATATATATATATATATATATATATATATATATATATATATATATATATATATATATATATATATAAAACAACAAAGATCGAAATATAATCCGATAAACTAAAGAAAAATGTAAAAGGCATCTAACTCAAATAAATGTACACAATCAAGATACAATACAAAAAACTAAAGCAAAAAAAAAAAAAAAACTACAGACAACCAATTAAAAGAAGGGAAGAATAAAAAATAGAGCAAACTAAAGACCACCAAATAAAAGAGTAAATTTAAAGCTCACAAAGACATGACTTGCAGAAAGTAACACAAAAAATCAAGAAAACACATAAGAAGAGGTCGTAAACACTCAAGCCGCTATTGACTCGGAGGCAAAATAGGATTTTCAAGCAACGTCGAGAAAGCACAAGAGTTGCCCTCAAACCTACTAAAATATTATTTCCAAGCTAAGAGGATACTCATGTCTTCCATGTTATTCGTTGTCACCGATGAGCTCAAAAACACTATATCATTTAGAAATTTCCAAATCGATCAAACTACATCATGCAAAATCATCAAACAACCTTCCCTAGTCATATACACTCAATTGAGCAGAAAAAAGCATCTAAAAAGGGGTCAATAGATCTCCCGATAAATCTATACACTACCTAAGCCATCTCTAGATCCGATAACAAACAAAACTAACCACCTCACATGTCACTAAAAAAATGAGAAGACGACTCCAGAGCAACTAAAGAGAAAGGAAAGAAGAAGGTCTCAAACCAAAGGAGACACCCCTCTTAAGAAAATTCTCTCAAGTGGAGATTTAATCCTTAAGAAGCTGCCAAGAGGAGACAATTCCTTTTAGAGGGAGCATAACTACTATAAATACTAGTGAGGAAAAACTCTACAGAAATGGCCTGATGGTCTGGAGGGACCTTGCGAGCAAGTTGCGAGCAAGGAGGTGGGAAAAGGATGAAGTCCACAAAGTAGGTGATGTCCTTGGAATGGTGCCGCCTCCAGACATCATGCTTTGAGGAAGGGATATAATCCATAATCATCAAAAATAGGTCATTAATAAGGACTCACTCATGGTCAAAAAGAAAAAATATCCTCCACTTAAGCTTTCAAACCTAAACCTCACCCTCCTATCTACCTGTCATACACCAAATTTGTTATATCTTCTATATAACCTTCATCTGTAATTCCATCCACTAATTGTTATTCAAAAAAATCAAAAATTATGTTGCTTTGTTCCATTTTCCTATTGTTTAAATTCAAGTGGTTGCAAGCATGTCAGGTCAGGAATGTGTGCATTGGTGTTGAATCCCCTCTAGTTGTGACCTAATCTTGGTTAGGCAAGTTTTATTTAAGTGATTTCGTCTGTGGGTGAGTCAAGCAATCAGGTTATGATAAGTGCAAGTGTTTCATGATTAAATATTATCCAAGACCAGATCATTCCCAACATTAGGGTTTTGGTACAGTTGTAATGCAGTCCATATCAAGTCATTATCTCTTGATTTCAAGGCAATGAGAATTTGGTTCATGGTGAAAGATTGTGGTTCATTGGCGATCCAAATGGCTTTGGTTTAAATTGTGCAAGTTATGGATTGATTCTGACAAGTTCACAATGGTCCCAATATTAATCATAAAGTCAGAGGTTCATTTGAAAAGTCTGGTCACAGAGATGTTGTTGAAAAGTCAGAAGAAAAGCCATTTACGATCATTCACATTTTTGTTGTTCTATCTATTATCTATTTAGTCCATCACCCATTTTTCTATCCATTAGCTAAAACTATTGTCCATATTGTTTCCAAAATCCATCCATATCATTTTTTATTTATCCATTTTCCTTATTTCTTCCAAAGTTAACTCCCAAACCTCATTTCAATATCCACGTTTTTGTACATATCCATTCCTTTTTCAACACAAAAACAATTAGTCACTTTCTAAAATCATATTTTTATGATCATCCTAATTTTGCAGCACCCAAAAAGCCCATTGTTATTATCAAAAGAAAGTGAAAGTCAAAACATAATTCCATGTACAAAAGTTCATTACCAAAGCCCATCATAAATAATCTACAAACTCATGTTACAATACAAGAAAAGTATCATAATGCCAAAACATGGTCCTACACACTACATAAATGATACAAAGAAAGATCATACTTTATTTCATAACATGGACCATATTCCAAGCTATATGAGAAACATTAATTTCAACTTGATTCATTACACAACACACTCCCACATTTTTCCACCATCACTAAAACCAATATGTAGCTGCGAGAAACATCATTACGAGCCTAGAACCATGATCTCACAATAAGCCAACACAAAAAAACGTACATCATGAAATTCCATTACAAAACTTTTCCAAAACCACATTGTAAGCATATTCAAAATTCACATGACTCCCACGCCCCACGCGTATCACCATGATCTACACTACCATGCTCTACACATTATCGAGCCAAGAAATACGCATCGTTTTATCTTTATAAGCTCCAACCACTACATACTCCAAGCATTACCATAAGCAACATGCAGTCATTTTTCACCCCCTCCACACGATAAAACTTGTCCTACATACTAACCTGCAAATAAAACCATTTATATTTTTAATAGTCATACAACAACACAACAAACCACACAAAAGCATTTCAAACCTGCATACTTTTTCTCTCCCATGATTCACTCGCCAAAACGCAGCGACATAACGATTTTCGCCTTTTCTTCATTTCCGTTTCTACCCTTACAATCCTTTATAAACATAACCCTTTTCACCCTCATAGAGAAGGCCTCAAAAAATCACAACTACTCTGCCTTTTTTCCACCAAATCTTCCAAATCTGAAATTCACAAATCCTTCGCTTAGGACGTGATTCAGCAAAAACCACGACTCTCCAACAACAAATTTCACCAAACCTTCATTTCCCCCATTCTTCCTTTCTTCTTTGCACCTTCAACCCAAACCTCCTCAAATCATTCTTCAACCTTCAACCTACGTAACCCAAACACCCACCGCGAATCAACACACAAACCAGAAGTATCACCCAAATCGAAAACAGAATTAGAGGGAAGAAAAGAGTGTGGATAAAAGCAAAACGAAAACGAAGTCTATACAAACCTTTTGAAACGGAACAAAAGTGAACCCAAACGAAAAGCAAACGAGACAGAGACGGAGGTTCGCGGGAGAGAAAAAAATTGATTCGCAATTGAGTTGAAGGTTGAAATCATTGACTGTTTTTTTTTCAATTCGCTATTACTTTGTTGATTTTTCATTCTTCGTTTCTGGGTTTTACTTTTCAAAATGATGAAAGCTTGTGTGTAGCTATGGAAGTCATATTTTTTCTCTGACCATGTTTGTGAGACCTAGGTTATAAAACAAATGAGGTTATTTATTTTCAAACTAATCTTGGGTTGTGAGCTTGGGAGCCCGTTTTATGGCTGAACGGTGGTAGGAGAATGGGCCTCACG